GAGGCCCGCATACCGCAAAAAAAAAAAAAAAAAAAGAAACTGTCACAACCAGCCCAGCCTTCAGCAACCACCTCCTTGATCAGTCGGCAGCCATCGAGGCAAGACCCTCCACCAGCAAAAAGATTCCCACTCACTAAATGCTCAGATAATGATTAGCATTTTTTAGCAATGAAGTATTTTAAGTTAATGCATGTTCATTTCTTTTAGACATAAAACTACTGCACACTTAACAGACTACAGTATAATGTAAATGTAGCTTTTATATGCACTGGGAAACTGCTTCATTGTGATATTCATTTTATTGCAATGGTGTGAAACTGAATCCACAATATCTCCAAGGTCTGCCTATGAAGGGCAGAAAGAAGAGAATCTTAAGGACAGCGGCTGTAAGAGTGGGAAGTGCTGGGTGCGTTTGGAAGATGAAAAGTGAGCCAGGCAGCAGGACGCAGGCTGTGGAAGAGTCTGGACTGGACTCTCCAAGGAGCTGAGAACCACAAGCTGCAGGATCAGGGGTCACTACTGCCAGAAGGGAGAGGATGGGTGACAAAGACCCAGATAAGAGAGCAGCAGTGCATTGCACCAGTGGGCCCATTTTTATGACTCAGGGTGACACGACCCAGTTCTCCAGCTTCCCCATGGACCACACCTGGCAAAGCACAGCTCACTAAAGCAAAGCCAGGCAAGAAAGAGAAGGAATAGCAGAATCCCAGACAGAGTTTGCAGCAGTGCAGTTAAGAGAGGGATGTGGCTGAGTTTTCACTGGCCAGGCACCCGAAGTCCCCCTCTCCTCTCCAACCTCACCTGAAGTCGGCCAGGCTCAGCTGCAGCTTCTTCCGGGCTTTGTTTCGGGTGATATAGTTGGTAGCAGAGCCTCGTTCATACTTGGGGAGGATAAAATCAATTCTCCATTAGCAATGATTACAATGACAGAGAGCAACCTCTGGACATTGCTCATGCAAGAGGCGACTATTACTCTGGATAAATGGCCAAGAGGCTGTGGGGACGGAGCGCTCCTGCACTGTCCCTGCAGTTGTCAGCACAGAGGAGGACACATACATCTGCACGATGCAGGACCATGAGGCTGCTGTGGATCAGGTGCTATGCCAAGCACTTAGTAGTGGCTGTAAGTACTGACCATTATGATTACTGATTTGCACACATTATTCATTTAATCCCCACAACACTGTGAGGTGGGTGCCATTAAAATTCTCATTTCACAAGGGAGGAAAACAGGCTCAGTAAAATAAGCTGCCCAGGTCACATAGCTTTTAAAGAGCTGGGGCTGGATTCAGACCTAGGTCCAAGTCCAGAACCTGAGTGCCTCATCCACTAAGCCAGTGTTCTCAACTTCTTCTTCATTATAACCACCCCTCCACCACCAGAGGCCTTTTTAGACCTTTTCTCCCCTTTAATCACCCTCTCTCACAGCCCCATAAAATGTTAATACCACAGGTACACTGTAGATGTTTCTGTAATGTGGTCCTTCTGAAAGCTACACATCATTGTAATGTCTAAGATGTCCCCCAACCAATTTCTGTTCCCTTTGGGATGACACCATCCAGTTGAAAATGCACACTCTAAGCCACACAGCCTCTCTCCTTCCTCATTCATTCAACAGACAATCACAAGACCTCTACTATGTTTCAAGTGTTTAGCTAGATGTTAGGAGGTAATAAAGACAAAAGGCCTGGTCTCTACCTGCACCCAAAGAGCATGTTGTGTTGTGCAACCATCTGAACATCTGTGCTGCTAAGACGCTGCCTCACACTCACACGTCTATATCCCTGATAGAGCAGCAGTGCACTGTACCAGCTCCCTGCAATGCTAACCAAGCACGTCCTTCCCAAACGAGGTCTTCCTCTGGATTAAGACAGCATAGGCCTCAATGGCCAGGTCCAGCTCTAAAGGGACAAACCTGTAGCCTTCTGAGGGGTATGTTTATGAATAATCCCAGTCACGAAACATGCCCTTCATTCATTCTTCCCTTTAGACATTTATTAATTGTCTACTGGGGATCAGGCCCGTGCCAAGTTCTGAGGGTACAAAGATGACTTTCAGACTGTCTTAGGGAAGTTGCTTTCATTCTTTCATTAAAATTGTTTTCTATTGCCCTACACTGTCACCATTCTTATTCTTTCAAACATTAAGGGGATAATTAAAGTCAACTGGGGTGACTTTACTCCCTGGGCGTATGGCGGTGTATTCAGCATTTTGGGCTGTTAGATGCTACTGGCACCTAGCGGGTAAGAGGCCAGGAATGCTGCTAAACATCCCACAACACACAGGACAACCCTCCCCACAACAGTTATCTGGCTCAAAATGTCAAAACGGTTGTGAAACCCTGCTTTAAAAACTGTCATGATTTGTTGGGACTTCCCTGGTGGTCCAGTGGTTAGGACTCCGAGCTTCCATTGCACGGGGCCGGGTTCCATCCCGCAAGACGCTGGGCGTGGCCAAAACAAAACAAACAACAACGACAAAAACTGTCATGATTTGTTTATATATCTGCACCTGAACCTCAAAGTCAGGTTTTCAATGTTATATCTCTGTAGTTCCAATCACTAGCACTTAGCTCAATAGCTGGATTAAAAACAGATTGGCAGCAGGAACTTTCCAGCTGACGGAAACAATCGAGGCAACTACATCTTCCTCATCCTCATCCCCATGCCCTCTCTAATCTCTTCATGCCATCAAGGTGATTCTCCATACAGCAACAAGAACAACTCCTTGAAAAACGGATATTACTCCCCCTTCAGTTGATTCTTACTGCTTTTTGAATAAAATCAGTCTCCTCACTGTGCCTTACAGGCCTTGCATGACCTGGTCCCTGTCCAACCGCAACTTCACCAGATGCCACTCTTCTCTTGGTTTAGTATACCCCAGCCAAGCTGATATCCTTTAATTCCTTGCACACAGCAAGCCTTTTCCACCCGAAGGCCTTGGCACGTAGTTTCCGCTGCCAGGCTTGTTTGTGATCGTTTTATTTGGTTATTTACTTTAGTGTCCAACTTCCCCACTAGAAAGTGAGCTCCACGAATGCAGGGACCACAGCTAGTTGTTTATATCTCCCATCCCCAATGTCCAGAACAAGGCCTGATTCAGCAGAAAAGGGAGTCACAAGTTTTAGAGATGATGAACTCGAAATAATGGTGAGCTCTACGTAATGTTCATCACTTTCAGTAAAGTAATCCTCCGGCTCGGCCTGTTTTGGAGTGCAGCTTTGCTAGGTAACCTCAACGCTCTTTCACAGCTCTACTCCAGGGTTCTTTCCCCTATTTTACAGAATAGGCGTCCTCGCCCATCCTCGAACCCCTTCTGCCTGCTGTCTCCTGTCGCGTTGATCCCAGCCGCTTCTGCACCCACGAGGATCCAAGACCGGAGAAAGGCGCAGTCCCCAGGCTCCATCGCTCCCGTCTCCTACCTCCTGAGGCACCCCCGTCCCCCCTGCCCCAGACCCGCCCCGGCCTCTCGCCCATCACCTTCTTCTTCTCCAGGCCTCCCATGGCTTCACGCAGAAGGATCTACAAGCACCGCGTAGACACCACCACTTCCTCCCGCACGTGCCCTGCCTAGGACCCCGAGGCCCCCACGCCGCCGGCCTGCGCGTGCTGTCCAAGGAGGTGCCTGAGCGAGTCTACGGAAAGATGGAATTTTTCTCCTAGAGATTAAAACTAAATCCTCTGAAAAAAATCGCTAAGACATATCTTTTGGGCTCTTTCTCATCGATGAGCCTGTTATGGACATTTTTAATGTTTAAGCATGGGCGTATATTCAGGCATTTCTATAATCATCCTGATGACGAGCGCTTGACGTTATGAGCCCCGTTGCATGTTGGGATGGAAGGGGGCGGAAGGCTTAGAGGCGACGCAGCGCCTTCTGGGATGCAGAGGGGAGAAGCCTTCCGAGGTGTGGGAGTACTAGTCTCCCTTGTCTGAGAGGCCGCCTCGGCGGTAAGTGAAGCTGGGCGCGCTTCGCCGGTGGCTATTGGCTTTTACTTTTGTCCATTCGCTGTTACCGGGATAAAAAGAGCAAAAACAGACTTTTTTCTTCACAGGGGTGGAGAGACTCGAGAGGCCACTTATATTTTCTGAGCCTTAGCGGAGGGTTGAAAAATGACGAAAGACCAAGCAGAATTACAGAACTTGTGGTATATTTAAAATGCACATTTAAGACGTTTGAGCTTTTAATATGTATACACAAATTTCGTAGTGTGTTCCTCAAAGAATAATTACAAATTTATACAGATATTCACACCAAGTGGTGTGGTCTGGGAAGCAGGTAAAATTTGTAAAATTTGATGTTTTCTTCTTTCAGGCCTCTAAACTCCATTTGGAGATTGCCTCAAATTTTTATTTATTTATTTATTATTTAAGTTATTTTTGAGTGCTGCGGCACCTGGGATCTTCACTGAGGCATGGGGGATCTTTCGTTGTAGCTCACAGGCTCCCGGTCGTGGTGTGGGGGCTTCTCGCTAGTTCCGGCATGAGGGGTTTTTCTCTCTCTAGTTGTGGCGCTCTGGTTCCAGAGCGTGTAGGCTCTGTAGTTTGCAGTACATGGGCTCTAGATGAGGCGCGAGAGCTCCGTAGTTGTGGTGCACCGGCTTAGTTGCCCCTCAGCGTGTGGGATCTTAGTTCCCTGACCAGGGATCGAACCTGTGTCCCCTGCATTGTAAGGTGGACTTTTTACCACTGGACCACCAGGGAAGTCACAAGATTGCCTCATTTTTTAAATTTATTTTTTATTTTTTGGTACGCGGGCCTCTCACCGCTGTGGCCTCTCCCGTTGCTGAGCACAGGCTCCGGACGCGCAGGCTTAGCAGCCATGGCTCACGGGCCTAGCCACTCCGTGGCACGTGAGATCTTCCTGGACCGGGGCACGAACCCGTGTCCCCTGCATTGGCAGGCGGACTCTCAACCACTGCGCCACCAGGGAAGCCCCTGCCTCAAAATTTTGAATTTGAGGCCCTGTGAATGTGACCTGACCCAAAGTTGTAGTGATAGAACTCACCCTTTAAAGGTAAATACAGACATTAAACACTGGCTAGTGCTTGTTTTGAACAATGTGCATTTTATTATGTACTTTCAATTAAAGCTAAAATAAAGTAAAAACCTAGTGATTCTACAAACAGCGAAAAATGAAATGAAATGAAAACCAGCTAGGGGAAGGTGAGCTGGCAAAACTTTGAACTTGCCAGAGAGGTGTGAGGAAAACCAGGGTCATGTGGTGCTCACAGCAGAAGACCAAGGAGTGTTCCAGAAGGGGGGCAGGAGAGAAAGAAGGATAGCAAAGATTGGTGCCACCATGAAAGTTATAAAAGGTGCAGAGGTGGTGGTCTCTATCACATCTCTGTTTAATTCATCAGTCTGGTGCCTGCAGAAACTGGATTGATTCTGGAGAATGACTATAGATTACTGTGCACTCAAGCAAGTAATAGCCCTGATCACAATTGATGTGCTTGAAATTGTTTCATTGCTAGAGCAGATTAATAAGGCTTGAGGTATATGGTTTGTTGCCATTGATTTAGCAAGTTCATTCTTTTACATTCCACTTAGAAAAGAGCATCAGGACTTCCCTGGCAGTCCAGTGGTTAAGACGTCACGCTTCCAATGCAGGGGGCCCGGGTTCGATCCCTGGTCTGGTAACTAAGATCCCACATGCTGCATGGTGTGGCCAAAAAATAAAGAGGATCAGAAACACTTCTCATTCTCATGGAAATGACAATAATATCCATTTAGTTTTACATTGGGGCTATGTTAACTCTCCTGCCCTCTGTTATAATACTAGTCTGAAGAGATCTGGATCATCGGAACAGCCCACAGATGTGACACTGATCTGTTACACTGATATCATGCTGATCAGACAGGACATGTAGAGAGGGCTCTGAAGCAGGTCCTGGCTGCAGAGCAAACCGTGCCCCACTTGGACCATCGGATCCAGCAGACCCTATGGTGTTGGTGGAGTCAGCAGAGAGAAAGATTCAGTATAGAGCTTATGGCAAGCCCCAGTGGGAGAATCACAATGCAGAACTCTGGAATTCTTGGGCAAGGTCATGCCACCTACTGCAGAGAAGTGTACACCATTGAAGAAATACCTGCTGGCTTGTTACTGAGCCCTGGTATAAAACAGTTGGCCATTGGTCATCAAGTGACCGAGTTCAGAACTTCCAGTTATGAGTTGGGTTATTTTGGATCCAGTGAGGAATAAAAGTAAATGGGCCCAGCAGAGGTCATTGTAATAATCAAGCCCTCCTGGGACCAGAGGGCACAAGTAAGCTGCATGAGCGAGTAGCCTAGGACCCCTATTGCACACAACAGTTGCTCCAAAATCCCTTCCCTGTTTGCCCCTAAGCCTGTATGGAGGTCCCACATGACTAGCTGAAAACGAGGAGGAAAAGACTCAAGCTTGGTTTATGGACAGGTTGGCTCAGTGCACAGGTGCAAAGCAAAAATAGACCACAGCTACACAGCAGCCACTTTCAGAGTTGGTCTTGAAAGACAGTGGAGATGGAAAATCTTCCCAATAGGTGGAGCTGCAAGCAGTCATCTGCTTTTTATGGAAGAAGTGGCCTAAGCTGAAAATACAGATAGGTTCCTGAGCAGTGGTCAGTGGTCTGGCTGTCTGGAAGGGGATCTGGAAGGAAAAGGACTAGAATGTAGAGATAAGGAGGTCTGAGGTAGAGGCATATGGCTGGATGAGAGAAATAGAGAAAACACTGAGCCCCCAATATGCCACTATTCCTTGAGGAGACCAACTGGCCACTTGATAATTCAGCTACAGTGGGCCTTTCTGACCTGGAAATGTCACCAGTTTGTCCTCAGAGAGAGAGATACCTAACCTGGGCAAAGGTCTGCCTTGTCTGCCTGCAGAGTCTCAGCCAGAGCCACTATTCAGCAGCCTATGGAATGCCTGATCTACAAGCATGGAATCCCACGTATCATAGCCTTCAACCAGGGACCTGTTTTACATGCAGGGAGGTGTAGGAGTAGGCCCATGGCCTTGGGATCCCATGGATATACCACCTACTGCACCATCCAGAGACATCCAGCATCACAGAATGCTGGAACAACCTTCTACAAGCATAGCTGAGTTACCAAGCTTGGAGGAAATACTCTGTGATAAGCCAACCCACTTGCTCCCAATGACTCACTGGGAGAATATTGTGCTTCCCATTCCTGTAACTCTGAGCTCTGCAATGTTGGAGACCCTGGTCCTCAAAGAGGACATGCTTTTCCCAGGGGACACAGAAAGGGTTCCATTGAATTATAAGTTATGGCTACCACATGGGTACTTTGACCTTCTTGTGCACAGGGACCAGCAGGTTTGAAGAAGAGTCACTGTACTGGCAGGAGTAGTTGACCTTGAGCAGCTGGAAGAGGTCACACTGCTCTACACAATGGGGATGGGACAACACGTGCAGAACCCAGGTGAGCTGCTTGGGAGCCTCCTGGTACTCCATTGCCCACTGCAACTGAGAATGGACACATGAATTACCCCTGGCATGAGAAGAGTTAACATACCAAGGGTTCACAACCCTCAGCAATAAGGTTTGGGTTATGCTATCATCAAGATCTGCTGAGGTAAGAGCTGAGACTCAGGTGAGTTTAGGATGGATGGTGGAAGAAGATGAATACCAACTGCAGCCCTGAGTCACAGATCAACCAAAGCAATGGAGGTTATGGTTTATTCTAGTAGCATCCCTTTTCTTAGGTTCCACTCAGGAAGCAAGGCCCATGGAACTATCCCTGAACCTGTGTGGAGAAGTAAATGTATGTGGTGCAAGGGGTGGACTGTAGTGGCTTCAAAACATGCCTCTCAGGCCTCCTACTGTGGGGAGCACAATTGCCCAATTTCCCCAGCTGTGCTCTGAAATCCATCGAGTGCTAGTGCAAAGGCTGTGCTTCCCATGGGCTCCCAGCCAATGACTGAGCACAGCAAGGATACTGAGGGAGGCCTGGTCCTTGGAGTCACAGGACTCCTCTGCTGGGTGACTGTTTTGTGTCAGTCTCAGCCTATCATCGATAGTGATGCTATCGGCTAGGAGTGCCTGGGGGGGCCTGTACTACCAGTGGGAGCCCCCCACACCCCAGACATTTCCCCAACTGGAGCCAGTGTCGTGGAGGGACTAGTCCTTGTGGTTCTCACTGTGATTGCAAGATACACCTCAGCAACAACCATTAGGGAACTTTGAGGGGAAAAGAAAAGGTTTATTACAAGTCCTAGAGGGTACCTGGCACGTCTGGGGCCACACAGCAAGGTCACAGGTAGAGAGAGAAAGAGCATGCACCTGAGGTTTTGCCTTTATTGGGGTTGCAGATGAGGTGCCTAGGGTTTCACAGGTTCTCTCTTTATTGGCAAATTTAAAACAGAAGAGCCAGAATTAGGACACAGGAAGGGAAAAGTGGGGTCACTCAAGCAGTCAGTTATGTAGGTTATGCAGGACTTTCTAAAAGGGGAATTTTGGGGAATTCCCTGGGGGTCTAGCAGTTAGGACTCTGCACTTTCA